AGCTTCATCAGCTTCATCAGCTTCATCAGCTTCATCAGCTTCATCAGCTTTCATCAGTTTCATCAGTTTCATCAGCTTCATCAGTTTCATCAGCTTCATCATCAGCTTCATCAGCTTCATCAGCTTTCATCAGCTTCATCAGCTTTCATCAGTTTCATCAGTTTCATCAGCTTCATCAGTTTCATCAGCTTCATCAGCTTCATCAGCTTCATCAGCTTTCATCAGCTTTCATCAGCTTCATCAGCTTCATCAGCTTTCATCAGCTTTCATCAGCTTCATCAGCTTCATCAGCTTCATCAGCTTCATCAGCTTCATCAGCTTCATCAGGGCAAACTGTACATCAAATTAGATTTCTGGTGGCCATTAAATTCAACACAGTCATGATCACTATGAAACTAATTTAATTTCTATTCTCTTTGTAATTTAAATATTTGAAAATACTGTTAAAAAAAAAACAACCCACACATAATAAAAAGAAACTGCCTTCTGCTTACCTTCTCAACCAGCCCTCCACAGGCTTCCATCTTATTGGACTTTCCGCTGTCCCCCTCTCAATCAAAAAGCACACGTGATAAAACCATCTTCATGCTGGTGCAGCTTAGAAGGAACAAATGGGGTAAATGTGTGTTCAGAGTAAACATTACATGGATGTCTGGTACCTTGTTCGGGTGCCTTGACCCATTTATTTCTACTGTGTAGTTCTGCTCACTGTAGTCCAGCTCAGTCCATAGATCTCTGATGGGGAACTTTTTCTTTCTATAGTTTCTTCTTGGTCAAATGCTGCAAAGCTGCCTCTCTGACAGTCAATCTCTCACATCTGCCACTCAGCACCTGTGTCTTACCTTAATACCTTTCCTGTCATAATGCCCCTCTAGAAGTAGTGTTATCATTCTTCTATCTCCTATTAAGTGAGATCTCATTGTACGATGTATTTCTAATATGAACTGTTTCACATGAAACACTGACTGTACATACTATTCTCACCAAACTGATAACTGTGATTAAATTCAGTGTAAACAAATGCCATATGCTGCCACCCCTCAAAAATTCATGCCCCCCTCTCGCCACCCCATAAATATTTTTCTAGATCCGCCCCTGCCCAGGGGGCTGTGTAGGCTAATATATTAGTGCTTAGAGCAGTGCGCTTGTGCTGTGAGAAGGTTGCAAGTACCCGGTTTGATCCCCACAGCCTGCACTCTGTGCTGTGATACAAGTTTGGTTGAACTGCAATGATCTAAAGTGTAATAATAGGGCTTGGTCGTCATGACGTAAGCACTTTGCGTCGCCGCCATCTTGAATGCGTCTTTTACCGCTGCTCAGACTACTGCCTATGACTACCGCGTACTGTACTTCCTCTCAGCCGTGTTTTAATTTGATTAATTTCACCTTAACTTGGTTTCAACCATGGTAAACCGTTGCTGTATTGTGGGCTGTAACAGCTCAACACATGATCGCCATGGGAACAACATAGAAAATGGGTTAACTTTCCACCGCTTTCCTGCCTGGAGGCGTAACCATGGAGACCAAGCGTCAGAGATAAAGAGTCATCGGCTAGCTTGGATGCTCCTGAACCCATCCATTCATGAACTGCACATGAGACTCCAAGGACTTGTAGCTTGGGAACTGTTTTGAAGTATAGGCGCTCACTCATTGTTTGGAACTTCATATGGATCCAAATGATTAATAATGCTGATTTTGTCACCATGCCGGTCCGTGGCTTCTCTATTTAATGTGTCCTGGTAAATTCCAGATCCTTTTCTGGATTTTAACATCTTTTTTCTCTCTACTTCTGTCTCTTCTTTCAACAACAACGTTGTATCAGAGCTATGTTTACGTTAGCGTAGCCGTCAATATGGCCGCCACGTCCCACAATGCAATGTGGATCCCGAGCCCTATTGGCTGTTTTTATGCTTATAATGAAAATTAAAAATAAAAAAAATAAAAAAATAGAGTTTAGCCCATTTTCCCAAAGTATGAGTTGTGGTCTGAACTAGATGGGGTTATCTATGTGTGCTACAAGTTTGGTGGCACTACAATGATCTAAAGTGAAGTCATTGATCATTTTATACTTATTCTAATAAAAAAAGCTTCACCAAGGAGAGGTGGATTATTATCACATTCATTTCATGTGTGTCTCATCTCATGTCATTCATATCACATTAATTGGATTCGACAATAATGCTTTTCTGAGGAATTTCCAAAGCCTAGATGACAAATGGCACCTCGATTTTATTATCAGAATTAGTATAAAATGAGCAATAATTACACTCTAGATCACTGTAGTGCCTCCAGGATACACAGATAACCTCATCTGGATCATAATACAACTATTACTTTGGGAATATGTGCTAAACTCTATTTTTTTAGATTTCTTAATTGTTTTTATAAGTAAGTCAGGTGTGCAATAATCTCTGCAACAGGAAGGACTCACCTTGGGTTTGAAAACTGCTAAATTGCAGCTTCATATGTAGAGATTTTCCTTTGGTGGAATGAATGTTACTCCAATACTGAAATCAGACTGTTTGTCATTCTCTAAGCTGAAATGCTGAATGACATGAAAAGGCGAGAACAGACAAGATACAATTATTCTCTAAGTTGTTCTTTCTTTCACATAGTGAGCTTTGCAATATAAATGAGTCTGCTGCTGAATGGACAATATAAATAGGCTCTGCCTTGCCTTGTTGGAAAAGCTGGTTATGACCTGTTCTCAGCTCAGGAACTCGGACCCTATGATGATATCTGGGTGTTCAATAGGTTTAAATAAAAGATTTAGATCTGACTTATCAAGATATTCCTGCAAAAAGGTCTGATGTTGCAGGTAATGAAAAGTGGAGCATGCTCTGGTTCTGATGCCAGTTTGTTTCAGCCTTTATCCAGCCTCATGTAGAAAGGCTGGTTATATCACAGGTTATTAGCATTACAACAAGGACAGTTAGCAAGGTAGAGTGAATACACAGACTTGTAGAGGGGAGGGGGGCTTGCAGGAAAACTGGAATTCTCCAGGATTTCTAGTGCTAATGCACTTTGCTCATGGCAGGAGAAACAGACAGTAAAAACCTGACGTTATTTTTCCCCATAACACGCTTTGCATGTGTAGTCAACCTGCTAGCGGCAGGGATGCGACAGCTGTAATATAAATTATTTTACTGCGATTGGATCTGCGCTCTCTCCAGTTCAGCCAGGTCGGCGTATTATAGTGCATACCCACTTCTGCGCCGCTGACAAGCTGCTATAACTTGAGAGAGGCGGTGTGTGCAAATTTGGAAAGCACAGAGGATGCTGATTGCTGACTTTACTTGGTCAGTCTACTCTACTCATCTTGCAACAATACACCGTGCACAAACTAACACCGCCGCAGAACGTAGATACTGGACCAGATGTTTACTTTTTCTGGAAGTCAGTGTTTTTCTGAAGCAGCGCTTTGCAGAAGGGCACATCAGTGCAGTGAAGGCAGAGTTAAGTTGATCATGTGACCAGCCATGGTTACCGTGGCGGTAGATCTAAATCAGCGGTCACCAACCTTTTTACAGCTGAGGGCGAATTCAGGGGCACTGAGTCACAGGAAGGGCTACCAATACTGACCTATGAATGGCAAGGGTCAACGTTCACCTAAACTTCATACATCATAAACATATCTTTATCGTTTCTTTAAATTCATCATTTTCTTTTAGACATTTTCATTTTGAAATCTCTATAAATGCTTAAATGCCATATATGATTAAATGATGAAATGTTCTATAACCCAATTAAAAAAGAAGAGCAACAGAATACATTGAAAGTTCAAACGTAGCTCACTGTTGAGTTGTTCTATTTTCAGAAGACTCTAAGGGCCCCCCTTGTGGTCCCCTTGGTGCCCGCGGGCCCCATGTTGGTGACCCCTGATCTAAACTATTATTATTTTGGGCATGCACACACACACACACACACACACATGCACATAGATACAAGCACACAATAAATAAATAAAAAAGGCCAAAGGACACTTTGGGTATAAAGGAGCTTAGCGGCAGGTGCTCAAGCACCCTCAGCCCCCCCCCCTCTGCACGTCCCAGCTCCTGATCACACCGCTCCAGGTATTACTGTTATTTTCCACATGGGAATTAAGATTCCTGAGCAGAATGATAAAATCCCTAAAGAGGTGCTTTCCAAAACCTCCTCGCAGGGATACAAAGTAGGTCTGGTACTTCTTCCACCTCTTTGCCTCTGAAAACAGAGACCCCCACCCTATCTGAAGGAGCAGGGGGGCAATGTCTTCATTTATTGCTCCATGGTAAAAATCACTAGAAAAAACAGTTTGTCACACATTCACCATAAGCAAAGGGGAGCAGGAAGAAAATCAGACCATGTTTCTGCCCCAGTTGAAAAACTGAATAACCTTTGCAAAGCTGATTACAGTAGAAACAAAGCAATGAAATAACAAACATCTGTGTTCAATTAAAGCAATAAACATATTTTTCTGAAACTATCAATTCTTAATAGAATTTGTTTACACATAAATATGAATTGACACAAGGAGGGGATCATTTTTTTTGTCTTTTTTTATGTGCATATTAAAAGCTGTTGCCTTTATTTAGGCCAGAAAACACTTTCTAGCTGGAGGCCTGTGTTTGTCTAATAGCCTCTGTAGGGAGGAAATCTTCTGTTGGCCTGCAGGCCTCTGGTTGGATGGTGGTTTCCATGTGTGGGGGGGCCTTGGTTCATGTACAGCCCTGCGTCTCCATGGTGGCTTGTATGCAGATGATGGCCAGCATTTATGTAGACGCTTGGGTTTGCGTTGAAGCCTCCGTTTGGATTCTGTCTCCTGTTTTCATGGTGGGGGCCTCTAACTGTGGAACCACATCTGTTTCTTTGGGGCCTGTTTTGCATGGGGGCCTCTTTTTGACTGGAAGCTTCAGTTTTCATGGACTCCTCTGTTTGTGAGGAAGCTTCATGATGTTCTTTTTTCAAAGGAAGTTTCAACTCTGCGGTCAATTGTGAGACTTGACTCTTCAGAGATTTGATCAGTTCCTCCTGTTCTTGAGTCTGGAGTCATTTTCAGTTTTAGTCTTCAGCTGTTCCTCATATTTGAGCCTCAGCTCTCGTTCTTCTACAAAAGCCTCTGCCATCCTCCCTTCTCTACTGGCGTTTTTCTCAGCCTGCCTCTTCAGGAAGGCGAGCTCATGCAGGACACTGACGCACACTGTAACTGTGGGAATGCATGGTAACTTTGACGCACCTGTAGGCTGGGTTACAGTCAATGTTTCCTGCTTCTCCTCTTTCTCTTCACTTTTCAGTCTCATGCGACGTTCACTTTCTAAACTTTTCTCCAGTTCTGCGATTTGTTTCATCTGAGTTTTGCAGTCAACCTGAAACTGGATTCTTTGTTCTCTCTCCTCATGCAGATCACATGTTCTCTCGTGCAGCTCTTGTTTTAGAGCAGTAACCTGCTGAGTGAGGTCGTTGATACGTTTGAGAGCCTCTTCGATGCACATCGAGCGAGGGATCATCGTAACCGCTGATGCATGGCGTGGCATCCTGTTGCTTTGATAGAACTTGGGGCGGTCAACATCAGTCTTTCTGTTGGTCCCGGTGTGCCATGGCTTTCTCCTGTTTTTATCTGGTTTGGAAGACACATAAAGAACTGGGTTATCAAAATGTGGCCAAACTGCATGTTTGTATTGACCAACAAAACACTTACCATGATGGTGTGAGTACGGTGCCTCAGAAGAAAGACCCGCACTGGGGCGAGTCTTTGGTTCTTCTAACCTCGGAGATGGCTGACATGCTTGCTGGACCTGGTCTGAGTTTAGAGACGTAGATTCAGCAGCGATGGATGATTTCAGCTGAACCTCCGCTAAGGGGGGAGCCTCAATGGTAGCAGAAGAAACTGCTTCCCCTTGGATCTCTGGACCATCTTCTGCTTTGCTGAGATGCAGCTCGCTGGTGACAGAGCTGTCATCTTCAGCTGGGAAAATAATGGCCTCATAGTCGACCTGGATGGGGAGGTCAATCATGTCTTCCCATGAAAGTTTAGCTGGAGAGGTTTCATTTCCACAAACAAACTGTTTTTGCTCCATGGCTAACTTTCTATCAATCAGAATATCGAGCTAAAAGACGTGTGATATCTGAGAACGATGTCTGGCTGGTTTCGCTAAGGTTCGAACGTGCTTCTCAAAAGGGATCTGTCTCGATGAAGGTCGGGAACAGATAAGAAGACTGGGTGGGTTTATGCTCAGATCCCTTCCAAAGTCTGTGATGTCATCAGCAGTCTCTTTGTGACATCACATGCCAGGTGTTATCCAACATTCTAATCCCAACTGCTGAACACGGAATGCATTTTTTAAAATAGATTAGCTGTTTTTTAAACAATAACTTTCTTCTTTTAAGATTTGTCATAGTTTTGTATTTCAGTTTTACAATCAAATGCAGACATTTATAAACAGTATTTAACTAAAGTATTACTGTCTTCAAAGACCTCATTACCTGCCTTATACCACCCAAGAAGGTTCAACACATGCTGGTAGCGATGTTGCTAGGCAACATAAGGTGGATCAGGTATAGTTTCCGTATTACATTTAATACAACAGTAGCTTGCTAAGCCCGAAAGCTGTGAGCTTTTTGAATTTGGGTGAGACTGAGGCCATTTTGTAATGATTCCTGAAGCAACCTGCACCAGAGTCCAACAGGAAGCAGATCAGACCATTTCAGCAAGTTAGACTCCATCCAGTTATTTGGTCTGGACCAGATTTAGCTGGGCTTAAATCAGACCTGCACAAAAGAAACAAACAAACTCTGGTCGATTTAGGTTAATAGGGCTTATTAGTGTGTTTTATAAAGCTATGCGCCACAGAAAGTGCTTTAGAAGAAATCAGCTGATTATAACCGATTCGTTCCCTTCCTACCCACCAATGAAGAACATAGTCAACAACAACAACAACAACAACAAAATAAAGACCATAAATGGATTTATGGAGGAAGAAGACAGAAGAGATCCTAAAACAGATGATAGCTTTCATTTTTCTATCTTGTTTGAGAAAATACTCAATCATAATATCAAACACAGAAAATGACAATACCCAAAACAGAACTAGAATAAGTACGGAAACATCTTTTTAATCGGTCTGTGACAGTGTACGTCACTTCCGCAAAAGCGCAATGCATTTAGGGTAGTTAGCGCCATTTCTGTGGTGGAGAGACAGCAGCAACAAACAACAGAAAACTAACAGAGAGCAGACGTGTTCTAGGGTTTCTTCTTTGGAAATAAAAGGGACACTGGGGCTGCGTCAAAGGATTGCAACAGTAATTCTAAACAGAAAACAGCAGATGGGGCCTTACGGTTTTTCGTATTCCCCACTTGGAAAAAAAAATATGGACCGCAGAACAGAGGACTTAACAAAGAGGCGTCGGCCTCCGTGGGTCGCTGCTGTAAGAAGGAAAGACATCACGTTTCATAAAATATCTCCTCATGTTCGTGTTTGCTCTCGGCATTTTCACAAAGGTAAT